ACACACATATATAGATCTACACACACAGGCACACACACATACACACACACACGCACATACACACACACACACACACACACACACACACACACACACACGCGCGCGCGCGCGCGCGCGCACACACACACACACACACATCAGTGGCATCTATGGGATGGCACTTCCAGCGTCTACATCATCTGGTTTTCTTCAGAAAAAGTCATTTCTCTGACTGAAGTCAAAACAAAATATTTCCCCAAAATGTTGAGCAAGGGTCACAACAGAAGAATGTGTTGAAAAAAGAAAAACCCAACCAGCGAAACTCCTCGCACAACCAAACCTCCGAGGCTTAATGACTGGACAAGTGATCTCATAGATAATACTGGAGCCTATGGTTGATTGGCTGTCTACTAGAGTCTGTGGTTAATTGACTGTCTACTAGAGTCTATGGTTGATTGGCTGTCTACTGGAGTCTGTGGTTAATTGACTGTCTACTAGAGTCTATGGTTGATTGGCTGTCTACTGGAGTCTATGGTTGATTGGCTGTCTACTGGAGTCTGTGGTTGATTGGCTTTGACTGTCTACTAGAGTCTATGGTTGATTGGCTGTCTACTAGAGTCTATGGTTGATTGGCTGTCTACTAGAGTCTATGGTTGATTGGCTGTGTACTAGAGTCTGTGGTTGATTGGCTGTCTACTGGAGTCTGTGCTTGATTGGCTGTCTACTAGAGTCTGTGGTTAATTGACTGTCTACTAGAGTCCATGGTTGGTTGGCTGTCTACTAGAGTCTATGGTTGATTGGCTGTCTACTAGAGTCTATGGTTAATTGACTGTCTACTAGAGTCTATGGTTGATTGGCTGTGTACTAGAGTCTGTGGTTGGTTGACTGTCTACTAGAGTCTGTGGTTGATTGGCTGTCTACTAAAGTCTGTGCTTGATTGGCTGTCTACTAGAGTCTGTGGTTAATTGACTGTCTACTAGAGTCTATGGTTGGTTGGCTGTCTACTAGAGTCTGTGGTTGGTTGGCCGTCTATTACTATTATACATGTATTGTAATTTTTACTACAACGAGATCTATAGGCCTGTTCAATCAGGCACTGTTCTCTGCTGGCCTTCAATATGACTTTGAGAAGATTTTGTGAAGTAGTATCTTTGGTAAAGCAAAGAGGGGGGTGGGGGGCATGGCCTAGAGGTTAAGGGGTTCACCTCTCATTCAAAGGTCCCGGGTTCGAATCTGGGTAGCGACGGAACAATTTTCTTCTCTTAAATTGTCTCCTTTCACCTCCTTTTCTGCTCTCTAGCAACATTCTGTCGTCTGCATTTGTCTCCCCTTTCTGCCCCCACCCCCTCACCTCCTTTGCCGCCCCCTCCTCTGGGCTCCGGACTCTTTCTTCAGCCTTTCTATTGCTACTCCTTGGCTCCTTCTTACAGCTGTCTTTAAGCCACACCTCTTATTTTCTGGTAGGAAAGGTCTAGATTTCACCTAGACTTCTCGGACAAGGGCGAAAAATCTCGGAGGTCCCATGTGCATGTTGCGCACCTTAAAGATCCCTTGGTGGTCTATAATTGATAAGTGTAGGTTTGGGCCGCCACCCGGGCGAAATTCAAAATTTCCTACCAACTGAAAAAGTTTATGAATGGTTACATGTATCCCGCGCCCACATTTAACCGCCTGCACTAGTTGCGAGCGTCATAAAACACAAACATTTTCAGCGAACTGTGAGGTAAACACAAATTGCTCAACTGTTAGCTAGCGCTGGATGATGAGCCTATCTCGTCCTGTCTCCTGATACAGCTAGCTCGGGCGTGTGCGTGAGTACTTCGATATATATTTATATATATACAGGGGGAGAGGCTGTGAGTGAGCGCTGGACACACGAATGATGCACGTGCCGTGCTCACGGTTCGCGATCTCTTCCCTAGCCCGTAGCCTGGCACGGCCGACACTCAGCACCTCCCCCTCCCCTTCTCCTCACCACCTCCCCCTCTTCTCCTCCAGCCTCTCTCTCACACCGGAGTGTAGTCCCCTCCTCCGAGGTGTGGGCAGATCGTTCTCTCTCTCTCTCTCTCACACACACATACACACACACACACACACACACACAGACACACACTCGCGCGCGCACACACAGTGTGTCAAACTCACGTTATGTTCTTCACCTCTGGACTCCTGTATCTGTGGTGGTTATTTCTGCACAGTTAGATCTGTGGTGGCTATCTAGATCCCGCCATTTGAGCTGAGGGCAGGCCACAACTTGTGTCCAGACGTGTGTTGTGTGTGGGTGAGGGCTGCGGGGAGACCGCCACACAGACGGGTGAGTGCAGAGTTACCGCTGGCTTGTTTTCGCCTCCACATCGACATCCGCATCTCCTTCAAAGTGCCCTCCTATTTCGATTTATCGATCAGGTTCAGAAAAGCGAATTGAGCACAGCATCGTAGCACCATCCTGCCCTGGCAGTGCTTGTCTTAATTGATCGACAAGAAGGAGCAGGGATTCGGGGGTTCAGATCAAGAAGTAATTGAAGCTGTGAGCATTGCCATTTCCTTCAAATAATATTATCGTAGCTTGTCTGGCATTTTTCTCCCTCACGTTCTTTGCGGTTTCATCTTCGTGATGAGACTGTGTGTGTGGCATTACATTATCAGTCAGTGTTCTGAATAAAATAGATAGCTTAGGTGAAACCACACACACACACACACACACACACACACACACACACACACACACACACACACACACACACACACACACACACATATGTGATGCGTACTCCAGCAACGTAGCCAGAAGAAGAAAAAAAACCCATTCTTTTCGGTTCAGTTTCTGGAGTATACACTATACTATACTATCACCAGAATTCTACTTTTACAAGATTGTTCTTGTATTTTATATGTTACGGTTTTATTTTCACCGTATGAAACTTCCATTTATTCATACCCTCCTCGATCCCTGTCTTACCCACGCCCACTCCACCTCACCTCATTTTTAACCACCTCACAGAATTATGGAGCTCTTGATTCAACACGAAGCAGACGTAAACAGAAAGGATGCAAGCGGAAAAACTCCGTAAGTGTTCAATATACGGGCTCTACTCTATTTAGAGCAAATAATTCTTTGGTTGAAATAACGAATTAAAATTCCGGAAGATATCGATTTCCGAGAAATTATGCTTACCAATCAGTAGAGCGTAAAAGAAAAAACCATCATCAAATACCGAACTACGGAGGGGAATGGAACACTTTATAACCAGCTCGGAGAGAAGGCTAAACGAATTTCAAGAGTTCCAGTAAATGAAGCTTTAAAAGGGCCATTCTTGTCAGCAACGTTAATGAGAAAATAACTGAAAAAATAATACCCTTGAAAAAAAATTGTGTGTGTGTGTGTGTATCTATGTATGTGTGTTTATGTATGTGTGTATGTGTATGTGTGTGTGTGCGTGTTTGTGTGTGTGTGTGTGTGTGTGTGTGTG